GGCACGTTTATAATGTTTGAATGGGGGAGTGCAGGTGCTGCATAGAGTCTGTGCTCTGGAGCCCCTGGAATCCTGTGAGGGTGAAGGCTGGTCGATGCCTACTTCTCACCCAGGAGCCATAAATTAGCCTGAGCAGTTTGGCACGGAGTATTTGCTCCAGGGATTTTAACTCTTTGCCCTCTGGGTCCTGCCCCAGCATCCCACTGAGTTAATACTGTATGTTCTGCTCCTGTGTCTTTTTAGAAATGTTATTAATTGGTGATGAGAACCAGGTGGAATCTGAATGTCCGGGCCATTATTCTGTCGGCATGGATATGATTCTACTTGCTGGATTTGTTGTTAAGGAAACTTTCCTGTCTCACCACCCAGAAGCCACTCTGGCAGTCACACTGGCACGACCTAAGCGGGGACTGGCTCCAGTGAGTCTCTGGTCTCAGTGGAAAAACCCAGGTAGATTCCCTGCTTGACTTCACACCAGTCAGACCAGGATTCCTCACCGGTTCCACACCAGTTATCCCATAGCAGAGTGGATCCAGGACACTTGGATCATTAAAACAATTTAATCATGCTGCAACTACAGAGTAACAGCTTAAGCGGGTGCTGCAGGGGAGAGACCCCGAACAAAGGACTGAACAAAGGACTTCCAGGGTATTCAGTCAGCCTAAGCCGGTAGTCTGGAGTCATCAGCCTCTGCTGTGTCTCTTTCACAAGTCCCTTTCTTATGGAAACATTCCCGGCCCTGGGCCCTGCCACCCAGAGCTCAACCTGCAGCTGCCCCCGAGCCGCCTGCGCTGATTGTTTTCCTCGGCTGTGCCAGTGATGCTCTTGCAAATCAGCCACTTGGATCGGATGGAATGGGATTATTTTTAATGTGCAATTTCCCACTCCGAGGTCCAGGAGATTTAGGGGGAGCTGAAGGAGTAAGGAAACATCTTAACCTGGTTCTCGGGGTCACCCCAAGTTTCCATCCCGCTTTTCAAGGGGCACAATTAGCTTTCCAATCTGTACAGCTGTAGCAGCCCGGGCAGCAGGGAGTTAATGTGCTGCTGTGTCCCAAAAGCGATAAGAAGCTGGATAGAATGGGATGTGGCTGTGGCTGGAGAGGGAGGCACGGGGAGACAGTGAGGCCAACCTCCTCCAGGAGACACAACAAACACGGGACAAGGCCAGTGCGGGAATGGGGATGGATTATCCACCAAAGGGCGATCAGTAGAGGGGGACTGAGAGCTCCAGAGACCACCAAAGCCCTCTGACCCTTTTCCAGAAATCTCTGGGAGAAGGGACTGCGCAGGCTCACTCGTTTGGAGAAACCTGATCCCGGGGCGTGGAAAACTTACCTATAAAAAGTGCCCCCGCAGCACCCCCAGGATCGTGGACATCTTGAATCAGCGCTGGATCCAGGACTGGTGATCTCCTTTCTTTTATCCTTTTGTATCTCTTACTGCTAGAAGATAAGGGACTAACTCATCCCAATTTCCAGGACAAGTGTATAATTTACTAACCAAACTTTGTGAACTCTTTTGGGACCCTCTGGGGTTTGTGATTCCTTTTGGAACACGGCCCTGGGAACAGGACACAACAGGTGCTTGTTAAACCACTTTCACAGGCTGTTCTTGCTGCTGCTCGGGGTCTCTTTAGGGATTGACTCTAACGTCTTGTGGCCTTGCAAGGACAAGATTTATTCCTTTCGTTAATAAGACTCTGGATTTCTCACCTTGCTAGTGGGAAAAACAGAGGAAGGGAAGTGGCTGTGTCAGGCAAAGCCTGTTTGGGATCAGGGATCCGTCAGTGGGAGAAACGTCCTCAAAGGGTGTTTTTCACGTGTGTGTTTCTGCCCAGGTTCTGCCAGGATGGGGTTTGGTTGGCTGAAGTTTCGGCTTTTTTAATTAAAAAGGTTAAATGCCACTGGTCACTCCACAGCGGGAGGGGAAGGGAGAAGGGAGGCTGAAGCCAGAGGAGGAATTCTGGGGCTGCAACTCCCCAAATCCCAGGGGTTAGGGCATCTTTGCTTCAGGAAAAACGGGATTGGAGGAAGGGAGCGGCGGGATTCTCCCGGTGGGATCGCTGGGTCCGCCTGCCCCTCCGTGAGGGGGTCCTAGTGCTCCATGAAGGGGTCCCGGTGGTCCAGGAGGGGTGCTCGGAGCTCCCTAGGGAGGTCCCGGGGATCCGTGAGGGGTTCCCGGTGGACCATAAGCCGATCGGGGGATCCATGAGGGGTTCCGGGGCTCCCTGAGAGGTCTCGGGTCT